CGCCAATTTACAACCTACGAAGACGACTCAAAAGAATACGCACTCGGAGCGATCCTACTCAACAAACTCCCACGCCACATACGAAGTCGAATCTACGATGAAAGCAGAAATCAAGAAAACCTTGTACCTACAGAACTCCTAAAAATTCTCACCAGAATAGTCAAAAAAGAGACAACGCTCCAAGAAATGGAAACTCAGTTCGATTTAGAAGGAAGGCACGCATTTTACGTCTCATCCAAGCCTCATCCACGACCACTCCAGACGAAACAAAATGTCCTAAACTCCAAGTCCAGAGCCAGAAATAGATGTCCTTTCTGTCTACAAAATTTGCACAACAGCTTCAATTGCAACGTCTACCCAACCGCTTCCGCAAGAAAAGAAATTGTGAAAAAACGCAGACTTTGCTACAATTGCCTCTCGTCATTACACATCACGAAGAACTGCCCGTCTAAACGAAGATGCTCTTATTGTGCTCAATTCCACCATACTTCCTTGTGCTTTAGAGGAAAACCTACATCCCTTTCCACATCTTCAATGACTCAATCTCACTCGACCCAAGACATCAACAAAAGGAACAACAACGACACCCAACTCCAAACCGTTCACACTACCTCTCAACAACGTAGAACCTACCGCGCGCCCATCAGAAACCAGGTGCACTTCTCCGAAACTGAAGAAACAGAAAATGCAGATGCTCAGCCGCCAACAGAAATTCAGCCGCCAATCACTACTACTCTTCATGCCTCTCAAGAACCTTCCGGAAGAAGACCACATCTTTTATGCGTCGACGTTCTATTATTCAATCCTGAAGACGACCAAAAACAAACCAGAGTGATGGCTCTTCTCGATACAGGTGCGTCACAAACGTATATCACCAATGATGTTGCAAAAGATTTGCAATTACGCCCATCACCTTCTCGAAATCTTGATATGTACACCTTTGGTAGTGAGACACCCATCACGATAAAGGCTACAGAACATCTGGTAGGACTATGTTGCAAGGACAACACCAAACCGACTCTCCGTGTCCAAGCAATTCCGCTGCTCACCAAGCAGATGAAATGGACTATCGCTACAAACCTAACATCTACGACTACCTTGAGCACAAAATCATCGAAGCCAGGAATTCTCATCGGTATGGATTACTTTTGGGACTTGATTTTCAGTAATGATTTCTACATAACTACAATAGAAAATGGATTACGCATTTTGCATACCCGAATTGGAGATATCATAGCAGACAACGCTTTTCGCTATGATCGCAAAATTTATCTATCCTTGTGCCGCCACACCTACACAACCACGGCAAATCCAACACGCCACTCGGAACTTTTGAAACTAGTCGAGAAATTCTGGAATAACGAATCTATCGGGATCATGGATGATCCCAATGAATCTGAAGATGACAAATGCCTTCAAGACTTTTACGATTCCGTTATCTACAAAAAAGATGAGCGACGATACTCCGTGAAATTACCCTTCAAGGTTTCACCATCCGAACTGCCTTCTAACAAAGACATAGCCTTTTCAAGATTCCTCTCAAATGTAAGGATGTTACAGAAGAACCCAGAATATCTGAAAAAATATCACGCCATCTTCACAGAACAACTACAAAGAAAAATCATAGAAGAAGTGGACGAAAAAGCACATTCAGGACAATGTCATTACCTCGCACATCATGGCGTAATCACAGAATCGAAGAAACACACAAAGATCCGATGCGTCTTTGATGGTTCCGCGAAGAAAAAAGGATTTGCGAGTCTCAATGAAGTCTTGTACAAAGGGCCCAACCTTCTTCCTGATCTTCTGGGCATCCTTCTTCGCGCAAGAACAACGCCCATTCTCATAACAAGTGACATAGAAAAAGCATTTCTCATGGTAGAACTCCAAAACGAAAGTCGAGACTTCACTAGATTCTTTTGGTTAAAGGATCCAGCACAAGGAACTACCAAAACAAACGTCTCCATCTACAGATTCAGAAGAGTACCCTTCGGACTAATTTCTTCACCATTTCTTCTTGCAGCAACCATTCACTATCACCTAACAACTACGAACACACCACTGTCGACCAACATTCTGCGCAATACTTATGTAGACAATGTATTCTACGGAGCGTCTTCTTTCGAAGACGGTAAGAATTTCTACATAAGCTCGAAAAAAGTTTTCGACGACGCAGGCATGAACCTCAGAGACTACTCAAGCAACAGCCGAGAACTAAATAGCTACATCAACGAAAAAGAAGGGAACAAAGTCGATGAGTATGTAAAGATTCTTGGCATTGGATGGAATATCATCACTGATGAACTAGACATCAAACTTCCAATTTACATAGCAGACGACTCAATCTGGACAAAAAGAAAGGTTCTTCAGAAGGTTGCAAGTATCTACGACCCATTTGGATGGATCTCACCAACCACTTTAATAGGAAAAATCTTCTTGCAAAAACTCTGGATGAACAATCTTTCCTGGGACCAAGCTTTACCCGACCACCTCAATGAAGAATGGATAACAATCATCAGCTCTTGGAGAATTCCAATTGTCAAACGTCCACGTCACTTGCTTTCCGAAAAAACTGCAGATACGAGATACGAAATCCATGTTTTCACAGACGCTTCACAGGACGCCTACGCAGCAGTTTCATATCTAGTAGAGACGCAAGGATGCCACCGGAATGGTAGCTCATTACTAGTAGCTAAATCTCGATTGTCATCCAAGAAACCAAAAACAACCATACCGAAATTGGAATTGATGGCACTCACAATAGGAGCAAAACTTATTCAATATCTCCGTAACCAACTCGACCTACCTATCGATAAAGAATTCATCTGGTGCGACAGTAGAGTAGCACTTGACTGGACAAGAACCCACAAAGAGCTTCCTGCATTTGTGCGCAACAGAGTCCGTACAATAAAAGCTGCTGCTCCTAACGCAACATTTCTCCATGTACCTGGCTTGGCTAATCCCGCTGACGTTGCCAGCCGTGGCTGCACCATCAACAGCCTTTTAGAGAACCAAGTATGGTGGACTGGACCGCAATTTCTACTACAAGAAGAATCTTCTTGGTTGCAAGACAACATCATTTCTCTTGATCTTTCACAAATCACACTTCTTTCACAACCTACTCCCCAAC